CGCCCCCAGGGGGGGTCCGCTAGACCCAGGAGGTGCCCTGTGCGGGCGCTGGGAGCCAGGTGGAGCCGGTCGCCGGGTTCACCGCGGCCGTTGCTCCTCTCGGGGCTCCCCTCGGTGGGTGAGGAGCTGCCGAGGGCTGGCAGAGCTCGCTGGTGCTTCGGGAGAGGTGGAAAGAAACAAACAGCGAAAAACAGAGCCCGAGCGGGGAATCCTCAACCGGGCTCCTCCTGAGCCGCTTGTGGGTTTGGGGAGTGTTTCCATAGCCTGGGTGAGAGTTTCAGAGCTCGGAGCTCACCGGCTGCGTTACCAGCGTCCTTGAGAAGAGTGAAGGAGGAGCTCAGCAGGGAGCTGGGGATTCAGCTCTCGTTGGGGTAACACAACATCCACTCCTTGTTTGGCTTCACTCTGCAACAGCAGTGGAGATGGAGCCTGGAGCCAGGGGGGGGTCGGGCTCTGCTCCCAAGGAACAAGGGACAGGACAAGAGGAAACAGCCTCAAGCTGCCGAGGTTGTCCCTGAGGAACAATTTCTTGCCCTGGAGGGTTGCCCAGGGCTGTGCCAGGCTGCCCAGGGCAGTGGTGGAGTCCCCACCCCTGGAGGGGTTTCCAAGCTGTGGAGATGTGGTGTGAGGGACATGGTTTAGGGGTGCCCTGGCAGGGCTGGGGGCACAGTTGGACTCGATGATCTTCAAGGTCTCTTCCAACTGAAACAATTCTATGCTTCCATTTTGCAGTGACACCCTAAAGCCTCATTCTTCTGCTTGACTTTGCTCTTTGGGGTGTCGTGGAACCGTTTAGGTTAGAAAAGACCTTTCAGGTCATCAGGTCCAAGTGTTGCCTGAGACAAAAATTGCTTTTCCATTTCCAAACCAGGAGAAAAGTGGTGGCTGTTTATTCTGCTGCTGGGCCAGCCCCAGCCACAGGCTGGGTTTGCCTTTAGCCTGGGTCACCAGGAGCATCACTAACACTGACTATGCCTGTGGGATTCAGCCTTATTTTGCCATCTACCTGGTGAAACAGGCACCTCCGTGGCTCAGGGAGCACCCAGCAGGCTGGGGGGGGCTGTTTTCCCACCTGAACTGGGTGTTTTGGGGTCTGGGTGCACCCCTGGGCTGCGGGTGCCTGTCCTGGGGGGCCCGGGAAGGGCTGAGAGGTGGTGGGGAGGGGGAGTGGAGCTGCTGCTGGGTTCCTTCACGTGCCCAGTGACTCCTGAGCCCCCCACTGCTGTGGGTGGGGGGTGATTTCAGCTTTCTGCTGGGCAGTGGGTGGGAAGAAACTCTGAATTCTCACTTTCATTACCTTAATAAAATGACTTTGAGTCTGTCAAGTTCTTTGAGAGGAAAATGAGCCATAATTGCACGTTTCCTCAGCTTCTCCTTCCCCAGAGGAGCTCAAGCCCTGGGCCTCGCTCCTGTGGCTGTTTGTGAAATCCACTTTGGGATCTTCTTTTTGGGGATCTACTCCCAACAGCCTGGACCAGGTGCCACTGGTGAGGAGCTGGGAAACTACTCAGCACGGGGCTTCTATCTGCATGGCCCCTCTCTCTCTCTCTTTCATCCTCTTTGCGTTGACAGATACCGAGGAGTTATTCAGAGTCTTTTTGAATGTTAGATTGTCAAAGCTTTTCTCCTGAAAGAGTTCTTCCCTAAACTCACCCACTCTACAGAAATAGCAGCAGTAATTAGCCCCAAATGAGAAGATTGAGGGCTGGTGTTCATTTTACCCCCTGGCTGATGTTCACAAAGGTTTTCCAGCCTTATCCTCCAGGCCTTACACTCTGATACCCTCACTCCTCTGTCAGAGACTCTGCTCTAGTACTTTTAGCTTCCACACACTTCTGAGTTGTCCTGGTCGCTGGTTGGAGTCAGCAGCAGCCTGTGGACCAGCAGAAGCCACATTTAGCATCTCCTGGGCTGAGCAGAGATTGTAGAGATCAAGAGAACAATGCCTGGAAACAAGCAAAACGATGGGAGACGCTCCTGGGGGGTCTTGGAGCAGATGGTTGCATTAATGGGTTAATTAATTAGTTCATCAGATCTTAAATTATTTAAAGATCTCTTCAATAGGGTTGGAGGCCATCCCTACAGCTGGGTTTTGGGAATGGTCCATAGTATAATTGGTGTGGTACCTCCTAGCTGGCAATCTGGCTTCGTTAGGGGTGTCTGCTAAGCTGCTGCTTTTAGGATCTCCTGTGTGGTGTCTTAGGAGCATGGAAACCTCCTGCCCAGCATCCTTTCTTTGCCCCTAACACCTCCTGGGGGGGCTGGAATTATTGGCTCCACCTTAAAATGCAGGTGGATGCCACACCTTCTAGCAACCAAAGTTGATAGCAACTTGTGCCCGACCTCGAGGGGAAAGTGGCTGCCACAGAGATCTTCAGATCCTTCCTTTGCTCTTCACCCGCTGCCTGCTGGACACCGTGCAAAGATCCTGCCCTCCAAGCCCATGGATTTGGGGAGTGGGGCAGAGAATGAGAACGTAAGTACTCTGGCAGAGCACGTGCAGCAGCTTCCTAACAAAACTAGAAGTATGAAGGTCTGCAGCCCCTTCCCAGGTCGTGGATCTGCAGATGAAGTCCTAACTGGGGGAGGGAAACGGCAGCTGAAGGCCCCGTGGATGCTCTGTGGAAGCTGTGAGGAGCTGGAGCTGCTGTGCTCTTCCAGCAGCAGGGTGGGAGGGGGGAGGAGGGCTCTGCTGGCTCCCCGAGCTGCTGTGTGTCTCTAGGTGCAGCTGCAGGATGGGAACGAGAGGTTCTACCAGCTCAGGGACCTGCAGGAGGGCAGGGGGAAGCTGGCTGCCTCCAACCCAGACCCATCAGCCAGAATGGTCTTCACTGAGGAGGAAAAACTGAAGGTAAAGGAGATATTTTGGGAGCTGGAGAGAACTGAGCTGCAAAGCCGTGTGAGGCCAGGAGATGTGCAGTGGAAAATCTGGTTGGAAATTTTGGAGCCTCTTTCTTTTGGGGGGTGTGTTGTGCTTCTGTTCCCTGGTGTGACCTGTTCAAACAGGCCCTTGGCCTCAGAATCAATCCATGGCCTTTCTCCCTCCTAGATTTCCAAAGACCTCATTGATCTCCAGATCGAGACAAACAAAATGAAGGAGCGCTATGAGATGGAGAACTTTGAGCTGAAAAATAAGGTATCCAAAAGTCTGAAGCAGCTGCTTGCAGCTCTGCCAATACTTTATCCAGAACCCCAGCTGGTTGTGCATCCACCTTTGCTTTGCTTGATATATATTCTGGCTTCAGCCAGAGCCACGGGCTCGCCCTCGATGCCCCAAACACCACGAAACTCATCCCTCGGGAAGCCAGAAGCTGTTTAAATCCCTCGTGGTCGCTGCCGGTCTCTGCCACAGCCTCACTGCTGCCTCCCCCCTGCAGATCCTGGCGCTGGAGCAGCGTGTGCTGGAGCTGGAGCTCTGCAGGGAGGCGGTCGGCAGGGAGCGGGATGCCCTGCGGGAGCACCTGCAGGCTCTGGAGAGCCGGCGGGAGGAGCTGGCAGACGAGTACATCGTTCTGAAAAGCAACTACCTGGCCCTGGGCAGAGAGCTGGACCAGGAGGTGAAGCAGGGGGGAGGTGTTCTCCATCCCATCTCACACCTCCCCGACCTACAGACGGCTTTGGGGCGCAAACCCTCCCGGCAGCTCAGCTCTGAGGAAGGTTTGCCAGCTGTGAGGCAGGGTGGCTCAGCCAAGGGGTTCATTTTGGGGGCCAGGGCTCTCCACGTAGCATGCTCACCACCTCACAGGTCCTGCAGAACCTGCCCTGCTCTGCAGAGCCCGAGCTGACCCGGGGGCTCATCGGGGCACCCCACTGCCAGAAGCTTTCCCTTTCCAGCCTTGCCAGCTCCCCAGTAAGGAGGAGGTCAGAGCTGGGCTGGGCTGGGAGCAGGGCACAGCCTCCCCCCCTCACTGGAGCACTCTTTGTTTCCCATTCTTCTGCATGGCTTGCACTGGCTCATCGCCGGCGTTGGGAAGGGAGGCAGGGAGGGCTCTGCCTGGTTTGGAGGTCAACACGTTTATAAAAACACTGAATTGGAGCAAGTTTTGCACTGGTCCTTAAAATATAGTGGCGACTGGTCGCTTAGGAGGTGTTGACTAAAGTCTGGTGGAGCCAGATTTGTGTTTCTCTGGCTTCTTTAGGTCTTCCTCCCTCTCCCTCCTCCTGCTTCTCCTTCGTTTTGAATTGTGTCGGGTGACTGAGATCCTCCTGCCTCCTCCTCCCAGCAGAGAGTTGAGCTGGTTCAAGCAGATGACCTGGTTTATTGTGATGGGAAGATGTGGGGCTGGGCCCAGGCATGCTGGTGTGAGTGGTATCCAGCCTGTCTCTGAGGAGAATGTTGGTCTGCAAAGCTCTGGTAGAGGATATGAGGTCGTGGTCACTCCCAGAAGGACTTTGAGGGGCTGGAGCGTGGCCCGAGAAGGGCAACGGAGCTGCTGGGGAAGGGTCTAGAGGCCAAGTGTGGGGAGGAGCAGCTGAGGGAGGTGGGGGTGCTGAGCCGGGAGCAAAGGAGGCTCAGGGGAGACCTTCTGGCTCTGCCCAGCTCCTGACAGGAGCCTGGAGCCAGGGGGGGGTCGGGCTCTGCTCCCAAGGGACAAGGGACAGGACAAGAGGAAACGGCCTCAAGCTGCCCCAGGGGAGGATTCAGTTGTCCCTGAGGAACAATTTCTTGCCCTGGAGGGTTGCCCAGGGCTGTGCCAGGCTGCCCAGGGCAGTGGTGGAGTCCCCACCCCTGGAGGGGTTTCCAAGCTGTGGAGATGTGGTGTGAGGGACACGGGGCAGTGGGGACCTGGCAGGGCTGGGGGATGGTTGGACTCCATGACCTCAAAGGTCTCTTCCAACCAGAACAATTCCATGATCACCCTGTTGCAAAGCGAGTGAGTCAGTGACTCTCGTGAAGCTGAGAAATGGAAATTTTTTGGGGAGGAGGCAAACTCAGCTGCTCGGAGGGGTGTGAATCTCCTCTGTGGTCCTGCTGGAGCACGAGGCAGGGCACATGCAGCTGGCTGCCAGCCTGGCAGCTCGCCCCTGAGCCACAGCCCTGCCAGGCTCTCCGAGGAGCAGCTCGGTGCTCAGCAAGCTCACTGGCATCTCACCCCCGAGGGGGTGCAAGGTATTTGTCAAAAATGGGATTTTCAGGTGGCTGATGTCTCTAAAGGACGC